TACAGGTCGTCCAATTTATGACCCGCTTCTTGTAGTCTGGTTGCCGCTGTCTTTACACGAGATATGAAGATTCCAACATCTTCCCCTGGTTGGTATTTTGTTCCAAAAAATTGATCTAATAGTTGAATTACTCTTGCTCTTGTGATTGGTTCGAAGTGATCTTTTAATATCTTCCATGCCGCTACTCCGTCAGTTGTTTCCGTTATCAGATTTTTCAAATCTGAACTGATGTTAGTATAGATCAACGTATAACATCTATCCTTACGAAGTTGTAGATCTAATTTTTCCTTGTATGTTGCCTCTTCATCAGGTTGCTCTGGCTTGGTCTGTATTATAAACTGCCAGCAACCATAATGCATTAAGAGTACTTGCATATCATGCTTCCACGTGTTCCAGTTATTTGGAGTCAACACTGATATCTGGTTGTTAAACTCCATATCTGTTACTCGATTTAGCGTACTAGCAACAGAGTTCAAAAAAAAAAGTTCTAGACTGGAACAGTATTTAAATAGACAAAGTTCATGGCCTGGTTCAACTGCTTAGCCTGCCTCGACACAGTACATGGCCTGGGCCCGTAACCAAATTTGTTACACTTATTGGTAAACTAATTTAAATTTTGCAAAGCTAGCAGTGAAATTTATGTGTCGAGGAGGCATGAAGACGAAAAACAGTTTCTTAAAATTGGCCTTTAATAATCAATCATAAAGTCACTACGCTCGTTACTGGAGCGATAAAATCAATAAATCCAAAAAGCAAATTACCAGTGACATCCGATTCGAACCGTCTTCTAATATTGTAAAAACTAATTTCTAATCTAAAATGGTGATGCAAACCTGCAGTTGCATTGCCAACCAGCCTTTCTCTCCTCTAGGAGTTAAACCACTCACATACTTCTTATATTTCCGTTTCTCCTTCCTTTTTAAAAACTAACATGAGCCGAGTTTAAATACTAGCTCGATTTGCATGGCAGTTGCTGCCAACCTCAAATCACGAAACTCAAAAAGATCGGGTTCGAATCGGTGTGCTTACTTTCATTGAGATCATGGAACGGGATTGGAAAAACAACACAAGGAGATCATAAAAATTTGGATCCGATTTTTTAAAATGTCTAACACGAATTATCGCGTGTTCAACCACAAATTTTATTTCGAAATATTGAGAGCACCAAAACGTATGGTTTTAGTTCGAAATATCAAGAGTTTTTCTAGGGGCTGAGCATATACTTCGAATTAGCGAGAGGTTCGTATTATCGAAAGTTCGAATTATCGGGAGTCGACTGTATATAATACCGAAATAACGTAACCTGGACCACTATCAATAACTAACTCGCCTAAGCTCAATTCCAATTCGATCACAGATCCGAATATCTAAATAGTCACTCTTACCTTTATCGTCGAATGAAGTAGCGATCAATCTGATCCTAGTTGAAGTTTCGGTTCACTGGAGTGCACTGGTATGCACCTTGACCTAAGGACTCTCTGTCACGGGCATACGTAACCTTATACTGACAATACAAAGCTCTGTTCCTTCAGAAAAAAAACACAGGGTGAACCAAAAATCTTGCCCTTATTCTAAATATTTATTGTGCTCAAACTATTATAATTAGACATATGATTTTTTCAATATTTTGTATATATTGCAATGAATTTTTTTATAAGACCATTTACCTTCAACGTGGGATTGCTTGGAAAATGTCTAAGTGGTGTTCTTGTTCCCGACACACACACACACACTTCCATTTTCTTTGCATTTTTGTTTGGTACTATTTATTCATTTTTTAATTTAATTAATTAATTAATTTTTGAAAAAATTGTATTAACATCAAGCGTCATCCACTACGATAACTAAAAAAAGGATTTCATTGCAAATTTGAATAATATACACAGTCACTCAAAAAAGTATTGGGACACTTGGCATGCATAGCTGTACAGCCATTTATAAAAATATTTAACACATTAAAACAAAATGAATTAAGAAATATTTTAACATTGGTGTAGAGTATATAAGGAAAATTTTATTAGTATTATAGAATTATAATTTGATCTAGCTTTTCAAATATAATTCAATGGCACACTGGAGTCAAAAAAGTATTGGGACACTTTTGAAATGAGAAATTTAACAAATATACAGCGCATGAATAGAATTTAATTTCACACTTCTTTTTTAGAATAGAAGCTTAAACACAAATGTTTCAAAAGATAAGATTATTTATAGAAAAAATGGTGAGAAACTAAGATATATCGGTTGATGTGCGAAATCTCGTTATACTAAGTCATTGGAAAGAGGAGAAATCAATTCGCTGTATAGGAAAAATATTGAAATTGAGTAAGTCTGTTTTTAAAATCATTAACAGGTTCAAGAAAACAAACAGTGTTGAAAACAAGCAAAGATCAGGGAGTTCAAGGATACTTAATGAACGTGAAGAGAGGTGAATTGTGTGTGAGACAAGTACTCATAAATCCAAGAACAAGTGCATTCAAAATGACTTTGCAATGTAAAAGTAGGTTCGGAAAATCAGTAAATCCTGAAACTGTCAGAAATGTCTTAAGAAAACAGAAGTATTATGACAGAGTACCTCAAAGAAAGCCCTACATCAGCAAAGCAAATAGACAAACTAGGTTAACATCTGCTAAAATGTATGTAAAGCAGCAAACAGAATAATGGGAAAATGTAATTTTTGTTGATGAAAGTAAATATAACATTTTCGGATCAGATGGCAATCAAAAAGTTTGGTGGAAATCAAATACAGCAATGCATGTCAAAAATTTACGGCCTACTGTCAAATATGGAGGGGGTAATCATATTGTCTAGGTCTACATGACAAGCTCTGGTGTCGGGAACTTACATTTTATTGATGGTATAATAAATAAATATGTTTATATATATATCTTGACATTCTCAAGCGAAATTTAAAGCAAAGTGCAAGCAAGCTGAGAATCTCAGGACATTTTAAATACCAAGATAATGACCCGTGACATACTGCAGATATTTGCAAGTAATGGGTCTTCTACCACTGTTCTAGAGTTATTAAAATTCCTGCACAAAGTCCAGACCTTAAACCCATTGAACATGTGTGAGATTGTTTGCAGCAAACACTATGTGAGCACCAAATTTCTATCAAGCAGGAGGTCGAAGAGTGGACCAAAATCGATATATAGATCGTTTTGCAAAAAATTGTTCCAATCCATGCCAAATAGACTTCGAAAGGTCATAAAAAGCCAAGAGGGCCCAACATGATATTAACTTCTAGGTTTGAATTTTTTTTCATAATTTATTTGGAAGTGTCCCAATACTTTTTTGAGCACGTTTTTTTAACTCGATTTCCTTTATTTTGAACATCAACCATAATTGCATTAATGTATGAGTTTTGTTCAAATTATTATTGTTTGTATTTAACAAAATAACGTTTACTTCTTCTTTTTGGTTAAATGCTTATGTTTAAGTAAAATATTACGATAAAAACCTATGAATTCGTAGCGTGTCCCAATACTTTTTTGACAGACTGTATATAGGGATAGAGTAAACTCATAGTAAGAATTGAAAAATCCCCCATTTTTTATAAAAAATTGTTAGACATTTAAAAGTCGGATCCAAATTTTTATGATCTTGTGTTGTTTTTCCAATCCCGTTCCATGATCTCAATGAAAGTAAGCACACCGATTCGAAGGATCTTTTGAGTTTCGTGATTTGAGGTTGGCAGCAACTGCCATGCAAATCGAGCTAGTATTTAAACTCGGCTCATGTTAGTTTTTAAAAAGGAAGGAGAAACGGAAATATAAGAAGTATGTGAGTGGTTTAACTCTTAGAGGGAGAGAACAACTGGTTGGCAATGCAACTGCAGGTTGCATCACCATTTTAGATTAGAAATTAATTTTATAATATTAGAAGACGGTTCGAATCGGATGTCTCTGGTAATGTTGCTTTTTGAACGTATTGTTTTTTTTTATCGCTCCAGTAACGAGCAAAGTGACTTTTATGATTGATTATTAAAGGCCAATTTTAAGAAACTGTTTTTCGTCTTCATGCCTCCTCGACACATAAATTTCACTGCTAGCTTTGCAAAATTTAAATTAGTTTACCAATAAGTGTAACAAAAATAATCTACACAAATATATTTATAAATACATTTTGATTTTAAAGCTTACTTCAATAAATTCGTTTTCTTTTTATTTCATCCTCAAGAATTAAAAAAGTTATTGCAATGTATTTTTTATTTTATAAACTTTCTGGGGGGGCTATGAATAGAAGCTCTTACTATGTAAGTAAAACAAAAACTCGAAATTATTCTCATAAACGTGTTCTAAATTTATCCCACTTTCATCACCATAATATAATTTACTTTCATGAGTTTATATGAATTATTAAAATTGAATTTTTCCAAGAAGAATTTCAACGATTCTTAACATGGTAGCGGAAAATAATATTCAAACAGAACTCCCATCTCGTTTGGGTACTTGAATAATGTATTGATGCAAATACCACAGGCAAATTTTTCTTCACAGCGTATAAAAATTTTCCACTTATTGAGATTGAATATATATCTATATTTATTCTCGCGTTTTTTCTTTCTTTAAAAACTGTTTTTTCCGAAGAGGAGTTTTTTGAGTTTCTTTCGAAGCCTCGTTCGATTTTGGATCTAAAATTAAATGACGGATTTTGCTGAAATTTGTGTTTAATAATTTACTCTCATTCAAGAAATGTAACTAACAAAAATGTTGGGATTTTAAATTTTTGTCACTTTTCCTTTTTCAATTCCTACTATTGGTTTACTCTCTCCATATATACATACATATATCTTGTTCAAATTTTCACGCTAATAAAATACTTTCTATTCATCCATTGAAGTTCAAATACATTTTTTTAACTTGTTGGGGGTGATATTTGATGTTAATACAATTTTTTCAAATACTAACTCATCAATTAAATTAAAAAATGAAAAAATAGAAACAAACTAAAATAATAATCAAACAATATATATAGAAGGAAAAATAGTTCGTTGTGTCCCTGTAGCGCAATGGATTGCGCGTTGGTCATTTCAGCCAAAGTTCGTGGATTCAAATCCCACCTGGGATGGCCTAATTTCTGAGAATGGGATTTCTTTTTTACTATACTATTTTATCAGAATAATTAAATTTAATTAATGAATAAATAGTAACATACAAACAAAAATAGTCCAACACCCTATATAGAAAAGAAAATGGAAAATTGTAAGTAAAATCGCTTTCTATTTTGTCACTTAATAGTGTTATTCTATCGTATGTATATACATATTTATATTAATTGTAACTATTTAATAAAAAGTTGCTAAAATAAAATTTTTCTTTGTTGAGCAAAATATAAGTGTATGCCAAATATGTTCTTTTAAATGTATTTTAAAAGAAAAATACTGGAATTTTTTTTTATCCTCTTTCAATAAATGATGAGAGATGATAAACTAAATGATGCACGATTAATGTATTTTGTTATATACCTTATAAAGGGTGTTTTTTTAGAGGAATAGAACTTTAAATTGCAATAAAACAATGATGTATTATTCGATTGACATGAATTTTTTTTATTCGAAAGATAATCTTGTGGCATTACATTTTAAATATGATTTCTGGCACATGACTGCCACGGCTGGCTCGGATGTAGTCCAATCTGGACGTCCAATTTTCGATCACTTTTTCCAACATTTGTGGCCGTATATCGGCAATAACACGGCGAATGTTGTCTTCCAAATGGTCAAGCGTTTGTGGCTTATCCGCATAGACCAATGACTTTACATAACCGCACAGAAAATAGTCTAGCGGTGTTAAATCACAAGATCTTGGAGGCCAATTCACAGGTCCAAAACGTGAAATTAGGCGGTCACCAAACGTGTCTTTCAATCAATCGATTGTGGCACGAGCTGTGTGACATGTTGCGCCGTATTGTTGGAACCACAGCTCCTGGACATCATGATTGTTCAATTCAGGAATGAAAAAGTTAGTAATCATGGCTCTATATTGATCACCATTGACTGTAACGTTGTAGCCTTCATCGTTTTTGAAGAAGTACGGACCAATGTTTCCACCAGCCCATAAAGTGCACCAAGCAGTCAGTTTTTCTGGATGTAACGGTGTTTCGACATACACTTGTGGATTAGCTTCACTCCAAATGCGGCAGTTTTATTTGTTGACGTAGCCATTCAACCAGAAGTGCGCTTCATCGCTAAACAAACTCGCTTATGAAAATCGGGAACAACGGCAATCTCGTTTTGGGCCCATTCGACGAATCTACGCCTTGCTTGATGATCGTTTTGATGAATTGCCAAACCAAACTAAGAATAAATCACCTGACAGCTGTAAAATCGGTCGCCCTCTTGGAAAGTAATGCCAACTTATATTTCTATACCTGGAAAAAAACACTCTTTATTTCCGTGTATAAGCTGAAGAGTTTTGGAACTTTTTAAAGTTAAATTGAGGGATCAGCTTATACACGGGCCTGTTAATATCGGAAGAAGACTTAATTTAGACAAGGCACAGACAGTTACATAGACGTAGTTTAGATATAGTGCATTTGCATTTATCCATATGTAAGCGATGCGATTTTAAGCTTTCAACTGTTAGGGTGTTTAGAAATGAGTTTTTCTATTCTAAAAGAAAGTAAGTCATACTCCCCTTTAAAGTTAGTTTTAGTTTCGACCGACCGTCACTGGGCTGATTCACGTGAATTCTTTAGATCAGCGTTTCTCAAACTGTTGGGCAACCCCCCCTTGGCGGGCGTGGCAACTCTACGAGGAAGGTGCGAGTATATTGAAAGGTCGAAAACAGAAGATTATTTAAAAAACTAATTTACTGCAAGTAAACAAACAAAATACATTGTGACGTAATAAAAAATGAAATTCACATTTACACTGATATTACACTTATAAATGTATCAGTGCTACACAATGTATTTTATAATTAATTTAAGAGCAAGTTTAATAATTACCAGTGACCCCATTGGTATTTTCATACATAAAATTATGTTCAAAAAGTAACACTTATCTTAGTAATTTGTACGGTTTATAATAAATCCCTTATCTGTGTCATATAAAAGTTACGCTCCGAGCTTCCAAAAGTCAATCGTTTTCCACGTAGGTGCCGTAATGAGATATATTAGGGGGAGGAATTAAAAAGAAAATAATCTGAACTAAGTAAATCCTTCACAAACATTGTCCAGCTCTTTTTATTGCATTCCAAAACCTTCGGGAAAATTTTATGAATAATAGTGCACAGAAAAATCGTACTTCGGAAAGACATATATTTACGTCAAAGGAAATTAATGCTTTGGATGAGCGAGACGTTTATGTACGTCGGTGGCACTTGAGAGGTTAAAGTCATATCGTAGTTTTAGCATCAAAGTATAGTATTTTTGAATTACAATAAGTTGTTATTGTACGAGGGGGCAGCGATGGAAGTTATGGTTTAATATTGGGTCACGAATATATTGAAACTTTGAGAAGCACTGCTTTAGATCTTGATTAAAGTACTCATGTTGGTGTGAAAGTTTGGAGAAAATGGTGTCAGTTCAGATACCATCTTCGTCATCTGACGAGATTCAAAATATGTCCATCGCCTTTGTTTTGCTTCAGGTTTGGTTTACAATTTACGTCTCATTTTGAAGCAACATGAGGGCCATTGTCAATGGACCTTGGTCAAGTGATGAGGACAACACCCCTGAGCTGGAACTCCTCTAATCTTCTACACCATCTGAACGGGAATAATTTGATGTCGACAAGTTTAACTTGCATCAGATCCTCTACACAGCAGGTCTTCTGTGTCATTAGGACTCGAACTTTTGATACGCTGACCACGAGTTCGTGTGACCAATAACAACCAACCTCCCGAGGTTACTGGAAATACAGAAGGAGAGATGCTATTTCACTTTCAAATATACGACAACGTTTGAAACCGTGATTTTAAAAATGCGCATAAATGGATAATTTTCATGATATTTAACGTCACTTAGATTAGAATATATTAGGTTGGGGAAAAAGAAATCCATTATTTTTGCATGAAAATCAGGACTTTATTTAACATGTTTCGGATTGTCAGCTTTGGGTCAAATATGCACCGTTTTGTTGTATAATTTGTTGCTATTTTAAAGGTAACTTCATAATCCATCTCTCACAGAAGTCTTGGTCCTTATTAGCGAAAACCTCTAGTAATCTATTTTCACAATCTTCTCTTGATCCCAATTTCTTATCACTCAGGAAGTTTTGCAATGCGAGAAAAAGGTGGTAATAGTTTGGTGCCAGGTCCGGACTATATGGTAGACGCATTAAAACTTCCCAACCAAGCTCCCAGAGTTTCTGGCGAGTCACTACAGACGTGTGTGGCCTTGCATTGTCCTGATAGAACACAGCACCTCTTCTGTTGGCCAATTCTGGCCGTTTCTGGTCAATCGCTAGCTTCAAACGGTCCAGTTGTTGACAGTAGAGATCTGAATTTAGTGTTTGTCCATACGGAAGCAACTCATAATAAATAATTCCTTTCCAGTCCCACCAAAATACACAGTAGAACCTTTCTGGTCGTTAGTCCTGGTTTGGCCACCGTCTGAGCTGCTTCACCGCGCTTTGACAACGATTGTTTTCGCACAATATTGTCGTATGCGCCCCATTTCTCATCCTCAGCCTCCATCCGCTTAAGAAATGGGTCGTTCCGTTTGGCCAAGGCTTCGCAAATGGAAATTCGATCCATCATGTTTTTTGGTGTGGCACCCAAACATCGAACCTCTTTTTGAATCCAACTTTGCTCAAATGGTTTAAAACTGTTTTATGGTCGATTTTAGATGCTACAACTACTAACATGCTGGTCAACTTCGGTTATTTCTGTGATTTATAGACATTTTCGACGACGGGTCTGTCTGTGTGAGGTGCATCTTTAACATCAGAAATACCTGAACGGAATCGATGAAACCAAAATTGCATGTAATCCACTGTTACAGTATCGGCATCCTTAACACCATTCACAGTTTCAACCACCTGGTTTGCATTTTCGCTTTAATCGCAGACAAAATGTAAAATGTAACGAATTTTCTGTTTGTGTTGTCTTCCACTTTTAACACCCTGTAATTCACAACAGAATGGACCAAACAAAAAGCAACAAAATATTTTTTTTAGTGTGAAATGTCGCCTTGACAACGAGCATAAATTTGAAATTGTTTGATTGATACTTCACGAGATATTGACACTACAGACATCTACCGAAAAAATAAGATTTCTTTTTCCCCAACCTAATATGTATAAAATTGTTTTAAGGACATTATGACAAAAATATTTATAAATGCACTATTTTAACAAAAATTAACTTAGAATAACATTCTTTCAAAACATCCTTTTTATAAAAAATGCTTCTACAATAATAATACTTTTCTTAAATAAAGTGAAAACTTCTCCAGAGAGTCTGAACTATATATATAGGAGTTTTGAAAAATTCACATTGTTTTCAGAGTTACCACCAATTGAAATAATTATCGGCGTTTTTTTTCTTAAAATTTCTCCCTCAAACACAAACAAATCCGTAGTATAAAATATGTATATATATAAATCCACTTCTATATAAGTTATATATTTCAAGAATTTTTTTTATTTCAACCTCTGAACAGAGGTCTTGGCTATATACAGTCAAAATATTATAACAGAAGCATTTTTCATAAAAGGAGAATGTTTTGAAAATGGATCATTCTATGTTCATTTTTTGTCAAAATATTGCACTTAAATAATTTTTTGCAATTTTATATACGTCTTCTAATCTAAGTGACACTAAATATCATGAATATTATCTATTTATACGCTTTTGCAAAAGCACTGTTCCGATCGTAGTCGGATACCTTTATCATAACCAAGCTTTTTAAGTAAAGGTTCCAGTTGTGTGATTCTGTACTTCGGTGACGGAAATATCCACTCAAGCGTCGTTTTTTCATTTGACTATGTATCAAAAAAAAAAAAAATTACCAACCAGCGTTGCGCTCAGCCCCCCGTTTCCCCTCTCAAATGTGGAGCTCATTACTTATGTTCCTTTTTATATCCAATTATTCAGCCTACCAATATTCAACTGTAGTCTCGT